CGTCTTTCAATTATGCCTTAAATACTTCGTGCCCAAATATTTTTTTATTAAAATCAAGACAATGATTTAACGTGGGACAAGTTTGTCGATTAGCAACACAATATTAAAGGTGGGTTAGCGTTAGCGTTAGGATTGAAATCAAGATTAAATGCAAAACTGCATCCTCAACATTTTTTATCGTTATCGTTATCGTTATTAGCGTTAGTGCTTCAATTTGAGTTAAGCATGTACTGTACATGTACATTTTACATTACCGTTACTAAACTCAATACATGTTCTGCAAACGTAGTTTGTTCATTTCTTAGTAGACTAGTCATGGCAGAAAAATTCCAGATTCCGATCTCCGATCCCTATTCCGGTCACACATAACCACGTGATATTATCATGTGATATATGTACCGAAGTTTAGAGTTAACCTGTAGCAATAGCAAACAAATGGTGGGAAGACAGAATGAATCTTTATACAAAAGTAATTCGTTGTAGTTGAAAAAAATAATCTAGTTTTGACCTTTAGTTTCTCCTTTGAGTGATTGTTAACGTTAAAGGAATAAAAACTGTTGATTGTTACAATTATCGTTAGTGTTAGTATCAAAATTGATATCGATATACATGTACATGTACGTACTATGTATGTACACGTAGAACATAGTGTTGATCATTTTTTATTTTTTAAAGTTGACAAATTTATTATTATGAAGATTTTCTTTTAACTAAAACTATTGCTAATAAATTGAATAAATATTCTAATAGATTGAAGTAAAGAAATAAACTTTTTATAATAAGTAAAGATACATTTATATATGAGAAAAAAGTTTATAAAGGAATGAAATGAATACTTTATAAGATTTATATATAAAAATAAAAAATTTACTATGCGAGAGATTTACCGATCTTCATAGTAAATGCATTTGACCCATAAATGTTGTGACATATTGATTGTTTAATAGTTAAATAAATTAACTATTATAGATGCACATGAATGATAATCATTTGTCACATGACTGTGCTCGAGTCTGTCTTTTAGACCGAACCTCAATTAAAACTCGGCTTCTGGAGCTGATCGAACCGAACCAGACTTTTAACAGCCCTAGACAGGATTGCAGAATGCTCATCAATAATCTATTACTTGAAACTTCAAATAATATATTTATGAAATAAAGAACAATTATATTTAAGAAATTGTTGAGCAAAATTTTTATGGTGCATAACATCTAAAGCCATCAAACGTTTGTATTTTATACATCTTTACTAAGAAGTAAATACAAAATTTAATCCGTGTTTTTTCTTTGAATATAAATTCCTGATTGTCCAATACTGGATAAAATGATTTATGGTGAATACTGTATGTCAAGAATGGATATTGGGTTATTTCTATATACATGTACCAAATAAGTCAAACAAGCTGTCCTAAATACTGCAATGGTATAGAACTTTTGACAAGCCAATATGTCAAGACTTTTTTCCATTATTACGCATTTATAGTATACATTTTACATTGATGCGTACAAATCGAAATTAATATCGTTATCACAATTTCTAAATTCTCTTCTTCTCCATACGTATTAAGGCATCATCCACCGAAATGAAAATTTTTCCTCGTACGTATTTACCAAAAATCGTTAATTTTATTATCGTTATGTAATATCAAAAATAAATTCACAACTATAACCAACCATCCAAACTTATCAATCCAACGAAGAAAACCAACACGAGCCTTACCAACACAAAGGGCACCGAGTATTTAATAGGGTTCGAACAAGAAGAATTTTTCAATGGAATGTATCCTCCTTTTGTAAAATGAACCAATGTGTTCTTTCCAGCGTATGCATTGAAAGAACCACTATCATTTTTATTAACGTTATTGACAGTTTGGTTTGTATTATTGAAGAAACCAATAGCAGAAACATTTGGCCCGCGTAACTCTATCAATGATCTATCAGTTGAATTTACAAAGGTTACGTCGCCTGATCCAGCCGTTAGATTGAATGTTCCAATAAATGAATTATTCTAAGATTGATTTTGTTATTAATAATGAGATATTAAGATTGAGAATTAATGTTACAAAGCTCACCAGATATGCAAAAATATCGCCTGTACTCGAAAAAAGCTCTATTCTAGACGATGACCGATCTTTTGAAACGTCATTAATATTGACTGTAATATCACCATTCGTTGCGTTCACCACCAAATAATCACTAATTTTTCGAACGTATCCTTTGATGTCTCCTGTTCCTAAAGCTTTTAGTAAAGCTGATTCAACTATCGGGTCCTATTCAAAATATCAGGGAAATTTAATTAATCCAAAGAAAAAATTAATGCCGAATAATTACCCATAACTGAATGCCTCCATTGTTCGTAGTGAGATTTATTGACGGCGCCAGATAACTATTTGCATCATTTAGATTATAATTCGATGATGGCGGAATCACATTCACTTTACATCCGTCAAAATAAAATGACGGGATCCTGTTTTCGGTTTTTCCTGTACCAGTTATACTAGAGGCGTTAGTATCATTTTTTTGGAAGACAGGGAGGTGAATATCAATTCGCGCACGTCCACACGGATTCGGTTCCCAGAAACCTTTTTTCCAGAATGCCATTGTCCATGGTCTAATTTTCTAGTATTATTAATTTCTAGTATTATTAAATATGATTTACTACGTGGAAAAATATAACCGAAAATTAAATGGGATTTCCCACACTACCAAGCTCAATAATTTTGTATTTCCTATTGATGCGAATTCATAATCAACTGGCGCTTTTCCACTCCTGTTTAATCGAAGCTCGATTTGGATATTAGAGAGATTGACGACGACGTTGTCAGATTTTACGACATCTTGATATATTCGTACTTCTCGATGCTTATTTTTATAATAGAAAAAGGGATTTTTGAATTCTAGCATTTTGAAAAACGTTGCTCATTAAACAAATGTACATACGGTAAAGTACCCAGACTTCGTCTCGACATTCAAGAACGAAAATTCACTTGGATCAATATACAGATGATTTACTTGGGAGTCTTCTATTTGTATGTATGGACATATTGACTCTTTATCACTTGCTGCCATTCTTAGCTAAATCGATGACTTTGTTAGTATCATTATATTTCAAACTTTTAAGAGTTCAAGTAAAATTCACTTACCCCAAACCAAGTATACGTTCCCACAAGCACAACAATGAAACAGATTCCAAAGAATACAAGTAGCTGGAGAAACAGGAGAAAAAGGGAAGAACAGCATTTACATCCTATGATGAATTGCACACTTTCATAAACTTAAATTCGAATAAAACAGGGAATTAAAATTCATTATAGACGTGTAAAGCAATAATACGATGGCTAAATAAACCACCGCTCACTCTTTATTCTGTAAGATAGCCGAGGACTAGGACTTTTACGCCATATACGTCCAGTGGACATATACGGGAGCTTTTCGCCAATCTCGTAAAGTGAATCGGATTCTTGTATTGTCATTAGTTATATATAGTCGTTATCGTTCTTAATTCTTAAGAAACATGTTTCATTGAATTTGATTGTTACAATTCAAATGATAATAGATGAACCATTTTAGGTACCTGTATTTGCATGAATTTTTCCTTATACGTAATAGAATGAAATACTTAAATGTTCGTACGTACATATACATGCATGATCAGTATTTATTCTATATTTAGGATTATCTAACACTAACTTTAACGTTAATGCGAAATTAAGATACCTTAAAAAAATACCTTCTTTTACAAGAATAAAAATAAATATTGGATTACATTTTGACTGATTTAACTACGTAATTACGATTACATCTACGTATTAGCGTTACGATAGTGTGTGACCGAAGGGTTGATCGGCAATGAAAAGGTCATCAAATAACCATGATTGTAAAAATAACCACGAGGAATGAGCACCCAAAATAGCGTGTGACCGAAGGGTTGATCGGCAATGAAAAGGTCATTTGTTCAAATAACCACGAGGAATCAGCACCCAAAACTTTGCTTAAAACAGTGATAGGAGACACAATAGTTTATCATTTCCCGGAACATGCTACCTCAAAGAGACAGAAAAAGATCAAGTTACTCGTTTTGAATGAGCAATTAAAATAGCTGAACACGAAAGGAACAATATAGACCCGGAACCTGTTTCAAAGATAAACTTGTTGCGGTAGTCAATGAGCGAGCTATTGGAAATGCATATTCAAAAGGAACCGATGTAAAAAAAAATGACAGTCTTGCATTTCAATGAATAAAAAGTTGCTGAAAAAATAACAACAATGCTCAATGCACTATGGCTATTAAAAAGGAAATTCCTTAAAACAAAGGTACAGTAATCGTAATTTTTATGTGCAGGAATGAAAAATTAATATATAATGCATAAGAAATGTGCGTATTCTGTGCTAAATATTGGTCAGTTTTTGTATGGAAACATGAAATGATTTTGATTCGACGGCAATGATGACACCGATGACGAAGAAGGAAAATGCAATTTTGACACCGATGACGAAGAAAAATGCAATGTATTGATATATTGATGGTGATCATCATTATCGTTATTAACATTAACTTTAGAGTAACTTTCTAATAAATTCGGCCAGTTTGGATATTTGTCACGTGTACTTTGCAAAATAAAAGAATCATTATTGACAGTTGTTTGTTGCGTGGTTTGCTCATTAGATGCTCTCGACTGACTCGATGCCTCTGGTGTATTCACCAAATCTTTATATTGAGTAATTTGAGAGTTTGAAAGATTCTGACTCTCTGGAATTGTTTGTTGTTTCTTATCGTTTTTTGTGGCGTCCCATTCAACCCAATTGTTGTTATTAAAAGCAACAGATTTCATGTGTTCTTGCATTATCATTTTCCCCGAAGTTTCAGCTAACTCAGCATACCAATTTTTCACATTTTTCGGTTCAGCTTTCCATGCCCTTCCAGCGCTTGTTGAAATTTGTGTCATGCCAGGCTTGAATCCTAATCGATGCAACTGCTTCAAATATTGTCCGCGATAAATAATGAATCCGTTTGATGATTTCATTGATTTTTTAAAAGTTTTTCGTTTACGAACCAATTCTATGGCTTTGATGTCCGGTGGAAAGGGAACATCTATATCGATATCAAGCTTTCCATATTTGTGAATGGATGAAGTGGTGGTTTGGTTGATCATGGCGGACTATATCGATATCTGATTTTTTTGTTTTATTGTATGGATATTTTTCGATTTTCTGAAATCAAAAAAACTCACTTTATATTGATCTGAAAAGCGTCCTATTCCTTGTTATATGTCTTCAACTATTTAACATCAAAAACAGAGTTGCAATTTTTTTCTATGCGCTAAATCAGCCCATTGCAATGAATAAGAATGCAGTAGTTGGTACTTGTTTGCCAAAGAATACCAATACGTATTGCGAAAATCATAACGATAATAGACAAAAACACCGTTATGACGTATGTTTTAAACGAAAGTACGTAGTCTAAAATCTAGAATTATCGTTATCGTTATCGTTATACGTATAGCGATAGCATTAATGTTAAATAAAAAAACATTCGGTTAACGCTAACTTTATTTAGTAAACTCAGGTGAATCTCTTAGATGCATATGTATGTGATTGAGTGAATGAATGATTGATTCAGAAAGTTTTTGATCAAATATTTATGTGGCACATTTTGTTCCTTTGTACGTATGAAACGATAAGAAAGAAAACTTATCAATGGAGTTTATAATTGTATAAAGTTTATTCTCTTTATCCTTTCTATAACTAGCTATGCGGGTGCTGAAAAAAAGGAGGTAAATGACAATACAAGCCGAAACAAGAAAGTATCCATATTTAAGCCAAAACGAGAAATTATCCTGGCCTGGTTAGACTCCTGACTAATTGTTCGAATTTTCTGGAATAAACAATAAATTTGCGTTGAATGAATTTTTTGCGTAATATATGTATATGTATTAGAATCTCAAAAAACAAGTTTCAATTTCCAATTAACGATAATAAAACATCTAATTGCTCGTTTATCCATTCTCCTATTGTCGGAGTTTTGGTGGGTATATTCATCCACGTTTTTTGAAAGAATAGAAATTATTCTTGATGTTTGCTAACACAAAATATCGATACGTAGTCACCGGGTTGGTCACTGCTACAATACTTCTTTCATAAAAAACCGGATTGGACAACTTTATAGTACTCTTCGTAAGTGCAGTAAATTATATTAAATTGGCTATACAATCATGTTCAATTGCTTTGCCCGAATTCTTGTATAATCATGTTAATTCCAATGTTTACTTTCAAATTTTTCTAAAACTTGTAAACACTACAATTTTATTGGATATTTTTCGTATGGTTGATCTTCACCTAAGAAACTTGCGTATATATTGTATTTTTCTTATTTAATGCTATCTAACAGATCCTAGAAGACTCTTTGTATAAATTCTTGGTTTGTGCTTTAAAATATAATAAACTGCATAGTCAGTGAATGAGCTCATTATGAAGGTGCACAAATATCTCACCTTTCACATGATATATAATATACATGTACATGTATGATCAACATGATCTAACATCTCATCAAGGGGGGTCAGTTCTATACTAACTCATAATGAGCTCATATGTGTCGCGTCTCTTACCGTTTTTGATATTATTATAGAGTCCCATTTACATACAGTATTTACTTAGTGATTTTGATAGCACGTATCATATACCTGGACAATGATTGGTAACTATGAATTAGTCTCATAATTTAATGGAATAACCAAACTATCAAACACTAAAACCAGTTACCGAAAAATTTCATAATACGTATGATACAATGTATCAAACAAAGAATATTTAATTAGTTAAGAAAACTTCAAGCAATCATATGATAGTATTAAAGTAATCAGTAATTATGCTACAATCCTCTAAATACATACTCTTTTAAATGCATTTTCTAATGCCAGCCAATTCTAAAGAGAAGTGTGATTGACAATAGTTATTTTATATACAGTCCCCTTTTTTTAATGCATACTCTTAGAGCTGGAACTAGAAATGCATTAAAAAAGTATATATTTAGAGGAGTGTAAATATATAGTCAATACTCGCTTTTTCAATATAGCGAGTTTTTCAAGATAGCTAATGAGTTTTTCTATATATTTTCTGTTTAGATAAAACTTTTACTTGAATTAATATAGAAACAAAAAAGACAAAAAAAGTAGTAAGCCGATACAAGTTGATGTAATACGTAACGATAAGTTCAAAGATATACGTACGTATATACGTATATATATTAATATGAGCTCATTCATCTTGATCTTCTGTAACACATTTGGCACAGCTGGAGCTTTAAAATTTTTTGCCGATGTGAGTCAAGAACAGGAATTTTGCATTACGTATATATTTATGAAACCTTAGAATAAGATATTTGAGATTACCGTTACATAAGTAATAAATCTACGTATTAATTTCTAACTACGTAGAGTTTGGAACAGCAGCCAAAAATCAAATGATAATTTTTCTGTTCCACCAAAATTCTCTCAATAAAAAACTAGTGCCTAATTCAATACGCTCAGATTTACATTGCTGCCAAAACTGTTCATTTTTTTGGGATTATAACCATTTTCCCAATATAATCACTAAAAATTCTTCGACTACAGTCGACTTTCGATATAACGACGTGCAGATTCTATTGAATTTATATTGTTTACAATAGGATCTGCACGTCGTTA